TCGCGGACACACCAGGCGACGTGGATGTCTGCTGTCCGAAACCCCGACTACAGCAACAAAGGTCCCACTTCCCCCAAATACCACACCAACCCACGTGGTGATCACTCTTACGTAGCCGGTCAATGAGGGTTCACTTTACGAGCACCTGGTACTCGAACGACGGCCATGCGACCATTCAGATTGACTAAGTTTTAGTAAGCTCAATAGTCCACAGCTCGGTTTATGATAGCAGGTCGGTGTGTGGTCCTGAGACTGGTAATGCCCATGGGTCCAACCACGTTCTCGTTCGTACGCGCTTGAAAGCTCACCTCTCATCCGCGCTCAAAATACCACGCGTTAGACGCCTCGATGTCGCCAAAATTCGGCAACGCAACACTGCCAAGGCTCTAAGCAGAGAAATACGGTCCTGTTTTACGACCCGAGCCGACGGAGAAGAGAGTAGCCGATGGCCCTCACTGAAAACGTCAGTCTGTGTGGCAGCCGAGAAAATTATTGGATACATCCAACGGTGTCGCACTGATTGGGTCAGCGGAAGAACCCTGCAGTTATCTGCTGGGATAGCTCGAGCCAGAGGCCGTAATGATGATTCTAAAACAGCTGACGGCAAAATCGGCTAGAGAGTACTGGAATCAATACTGGGTTGAAATAGAGACCTCCAGGGGGCAGGCCTCAAACGTTGGTGATACTCAAAAATGCTACGAACTTATTCCCCAAACTAGTTGTAAGCTGTCTTCACTGAGTGACTCAGTTCGTGATGTGAATTGCGGCTTTATTGCTGACAACGCGACCAAGGTCGAGCGCTGGCGTGAGCACTTCCGTGACTTCGATCTTCAACCCAGCAGCCCCCTGCTCCCATCTACAGCAGAGCCTCCTTTATCCCTCACTTATCCAGTGTCATGCGACCCGCCTTCTGAAGGAGAAATCGTTGATGTCTTTAAAAGTCTGTGCAATAACAAGGCACTTGGAGAAGACGGTATGCCCACTGAAGTCTACAAGTCTTGTGTCGACACGCTTTGCTATTGTTCTTCTCAGACGATTCCAGCCTGTGCATGATTCTAGGACGCGGCCCAATCAACCCAGATTTCGCCTTGGGCGTGGATGTGTGGACCAGATATTTACACTGAGACAGATCCTTGAATCTCGTCATAGCTACCAACAACTACTGGCCGTCTGTTTTGTTGACTGCCGCTGCGTTCGATTCTGTCCATTCCGTTAAGCGCTATGGTGGATAATGGCAATGGATGGTGTACCACCAAAAAATAATCATCATGCTCCAGGCATACTATCGCTCCACCATCGCGTGAGTTCTGGCCCATAACGACCTCTTAGGATTCTTCGCTATTCTGTCTGGCGTTTGACAAGACTGTGTCCTGTCGCCCATCCCATTTAACTACACCATTGACTGGATTCTCGGGAAGGCCCTACGTGAAGATGACGGTACTGAGCTTGCACCCGGACGCAGATTGACTGAGCTCAACTATGCCGATGACATCGCTCTACTAGCGTCAAGCATCGGTGATCTACATTCTATGGTGTTACATGTGAACGGGGTCGCTAAATCGGTCGGTTTGCTCGTAAACGCTGGGAAGGCCAAATCGTTATCATGCTGCATCTCTGCCAAGGGAAGACACCCCTCGAGATTACTGGCTGCCCACTTTAAGAAACAGACAGTTTAAAATACTTCGGAGCGAGGTTGCTGCCGAATGAACAGAGTACGGGTGACATTGTCTCCCGAAA